TCATTCATCCCGGGAACCTGGCAGCCAGCATCCACTTTGGTATGTTAAACAGGCATCTCAGTCATTCATCCCGGGATTGAGACATTAACATCAACCCTTAGGGGAATCAAAAGAGAAAGCACAGTGAGTGATCTCTTCACGCCTGCTAGGGTAGCATAGTCAGGGTGGGGAGTGCCGTGCAGAAGGTGGAGCCATCATACACCGCTGGTGGGAATGTAAAATGCTTTAGCCACTTGGGAAAACAGTTCCTACAAGAATAAAATGGAAACTACCACATAACCCTGCAATTCCACTCCTAGGCAGAAACGGGAGGGAATGAAGTATGTGTTCACACCAAGAAATCGGTACAGAAATATTTATAGCAGCAGCGTTCAAAATGATGAGTAAGTGGGAAAATATGACCATCAACCAATGCACAGACAAACAAATGTAGTATGCCCATATGATCATATGTTATCCAGCCATGGAAAGGTTGACACATGCTGCAACATTCATGAAGCTTGAAACTATTGAGCCAAATAAGCCAGACAGAAACAGTCATGTTGCATGATTCCATTTATGTAAAACTCAATGTCCTAGTTAGGTTTCTATTGCTGTGATTAAAGACCATGACCAAAAGTGGCTTAGGGAGGAAGGGGTATGTTTGACTTACATATCCAGAGTCACGGTTCTTTGAGAGAAACCAAGGCAAGAACTCAAAGCAGGAACCTGGGGACAGGAGCTGAAGCCATGGAGGAGGGCTGTTTACTGCCTTGCTCCTCATGACTTGCTCAGCCTGCTTTTTAAACACAATTCAGGTGTTTAAAAATTCAGGTGACAGCCCAAGGGTGTCACCACTCACAAGTGGGTGGGGGTGGGGCCCTCCCACATTGATCATTAATTGAGAAAAAGCCCTACAGACTTGTCTACAGGCATACAGGCAATATGATGGAGATATTTTTCTCAACTGAGGGTTCCCTTCCCAGATGACACTAGTCTGTATCAAACTGACAAAGAAAGAAAAGCCAGAACAGTAAGAAAATCGGAAAATCCAGAGATGTAAATTAGGTTGAATGTTAAGGGAGAACAAGAAGCTCTCGCTGTCAAGGGAGCACAGGGTTTCTTTTGGAGAGTGGTGAAACTAGTCTAAAGTCAGCTGTGGTGGTAGATGGACAGCCAGCCCTTGGAGCATAGCAAAAACCGTGGGATCAAATACTTTCAATGGGTGTGTGTAGGGCAGGAGAATTACATCTCAACACAGTTGAAACTCGTATTTCTGAGGAAAAGCTATGCTGGTGCACATTTCAACTGACAAGACAACTCTCATTGAGTACACAAGCCCAGAGCTGTCAGAAACATTGGTGCCATCATGGCTCTAAAGGGCAGCCCCAGTGGGAACGTTTGACATACACATCTTGTCATTTGCTAGAAGGATTCCTCTCTCTCTCTCTCTGTGTGTGTGTGTGTGTGTGTGTGTACGTGCATGCGCAGGTATTTTGCCTGCATGTATGTCTGTGTGAGGGTGTCAGAACCCCTGGAACTGGAGTTACAGATGTGAGCTGCCCTGTGGGTGCTGGAAACTGAATCTAGGTCCTCTGGAAGAGCAGCCAGTGCTCTTTGCCACAGAGACATCTCTCCAGCCCTGGCTAAAAGGATTCTTAAGAAGGCAAAGGTTTCCTGATGATTATGGTGGTGGTCATGATGATGGTGGTAATCGTAACATACTGTGATGAAGATGGTGGTGGTGGTGATGTAATAATGATGATGATTATGGTAAAATGATAGTGTGATCGTGATAATAATAAGGATAATGACCATAGCACTGAAGGTGAGACACGGGGCCTTCCACATGCTAGGCAAGTGCTCTACCACTGAGCTATATCCCCAGTACCCCCCTACTTTGGTTTCATAGATGAGCAAATTTGGGACTACAAAGGAGCTAAAAACTGCTGCCGAGGGTGGGTTTTTGGTGTAACTGAACCAGAGCCTGTTTAGATTCTCCACCCCTTCCCTGCAGGCATTTTGCAGGTATCTACACCTTTCAAGCTGTCCTTCTAGCATGGTTAGGGACTAAATACCTCTTAGCTTTGGCATCCTGGTCAGGCCACTTGGGCAGAGTACCAGCATGGGACAGGGGCAGCTGCAGTTTCTGGGAGAACAACAGAAGATGAGGTCAGGTTCTGAGAAGATGGCATAAGCCAGGGTGAGATGTGACCCTGTGGCCTGGGGTCTGCGGCTACTTGTTCCCATCACGTACGCACTTGGAGGTGTTGAGAACTAGCCCCCCCCTGCCTACTTTTACCCACCTCATAACCAGTACGATTTTGGTTTTGCCCCTAGAAGCTGCCTGTGAGTCACTCCACCCATGGAAACCTCCCCACTCTAACCTCAGGCAAGGCAGAGAGGACAACAGTCTCTCATTCCTACCCAACTCTCAACAGTACGAGCTTACTCAAACCTGGGGCAGGGCTGGGATGTAGGTATGGACAGGAAGTGGGCACCAGTTGTGAACATCTCTCCCCACTACCCAAGGGGGAGGGAACGGTCACGTGTACTTTGAATGAGTGAAGATCAAGCCTGATTTTAAACACACCTCATCTTCATGTCCCCTCTCCCGGGAACATTGTGATTATCCACAGTTTTCGATGAGGAGCTGAGACAGGAAGAGGCCAAAGCCACTCAAGCCCAGGCCGCTTTCAGCAACTGACAGTTCCTCATGTCTCATACACTCGGAGCAGAAGCGGAGAATGGTCAGCTGGCCTGCTGGTCCACACCACAGTCCCACACCCCAACACCTCTGCTTGGCAGATGAGGCCCTGGCCTTCACAGCTGACTTCCTGGAGGCTGTCACAGGCCGGATGAGGAGGTGACAACAGGGTGGGTGCTGGTGGGGACCTGTGACCACAGTCTGGGGGCAGGGCAGGAAGCAGTAGCTATGGGACGGTGACTAGGGTGGGCCTGCCTGGGGAGCGCAGCCCCATTTCAAAAGCGTCCATCGGGAGCCCAGGTGGCCCTGTACTGCAGCATCTCTGTGGGACTTCAGGTAGGGAAGAGGAAGGGTGGGAGGCAGGGAGGCTGGGATACCCTGGGAAAGAGAACTGGGAGACAGAGCCCAAAGTTTCCAGAAGTGCTGATATGGTAAACAAGAGCCCTAGGTTTCTGACAGCCTTCAGGCCCGTCACTAACTCCTTCATCAGTCTTGTGCCCACTCTGGGGCTCATTTGTAAATGAAGACTGTCCACAGTTTCAAAGGCTATTTCAAGTTCTGGCAGTTAGAGTCTTTAAAAGATGGAGATAGGCTTAGTATGGGGTACTCCTATGGTTCCATCATTGGAAAGGCAGTGAGACCCTGTTGCAAAAGATGCAAGGAAGGGGAAGGAGAGAGAAGAGGAAAGGGAAGGAGAGAGAAGAGGAAGGGGAAAGGGAAAGAGAAGGGGAGGGAAGAAGAGGGGAGGGAAGGGGAGGGAAGGGAAGGGAAGGGAAGGGAAGGGAAGGGAAGGGATGTAAATAGACTACTTGACAATACGAAGAGTTCTGAGAGACTGATGTCCATGGGTCAGTGTCAGGAGCATTCTGGTCACTTAACAGGATGACCAGAAAGCTTGACAGGATTCTCCCTTTGCCTGTTTATCTCCCAGCCCTACATGTCACCTGCATTCTGCCTCCAAGTCACTTCTTTGGGTAGAGCATGAAAGCCTACAGCTAGGTGTGAGGGACACCTCTGTACCTGGCTCACTCGCCTAAGACCCTGCTGCAAATGGCAGGCAGTGGAGGAAAATGCTCTCTGAGGACCCTGGAAGGAGATTAAGCATCGAGTCTCAACCTGTGGGTGGCAATCATTGGAAAACGTTATTTCTGATGGTCTTAGGAACTGAGATACCACTCAGTAGCAAAATTACAGTTAGGAAATAGCAACGAAAATTAATTTATGATTAGGGGTTCCTAAGAACATCGGAAATATGTTTTCTGATGGTCATGACACACAGGTTGAGAACCACTGAGGTGGAAAGGAGATGGCAGGGGATTCAAAAATAGGACTTTAAGTTGTCTCAAAGCAAGGAGAACCTTCTAGTTGACTATTGCCCGGTAGCAGACAAGTAGGCACCTGTCCCTGCCATAAGTCCAAGTCTGAAAAATTTGGTGGGGAACATCACAACAGGAAACCTGAGCAGTGGAAGGGGCTTGCAAGAGCACACTTAAAAGTCCCTCACAAGGGCATAGACACAGGACAGCCATCATTCATTGTAGAGTTAGGGCTGGTGGCTGGTGCCCTTCCAGGAGGCTCAGAGCAGCCACACGGAAGTACAGAGAGAGGAACGGAGCTCACTGCCTCTCCATATCTGTAAGGGAGATACAGAGTGAGCTCTGGAGTCAGAGACAGGGAGAGAAAGAATTAGCTAGGAGACGTGCCTGGGGCCACAGGCTTGGGATCTTAGTGCCTCTGGAAGATCACACTTGTCAAGACTAGCCTGGGCTACAAAGCCACCCTGAGCAACTTAATGATACCTTGTGTCAAAATAAATAAATAAAGAGATAGAGTGTGGCCCAATGGCAGAGCACTGGCCTGTCGTGCATAAGTCTCTGGGGTCCATCCCTGGGATAGAAGAGTGGAATCAAGTAGGGAAATGTACCCTGTTCTGGGTAGAAAGTGACACTTCTCCAAAGCTTAACCTATTATAAATGTGTTGTCCCTTCTTCATGTTCAGAGCCATCTCCCCACACCCTATCAAGTGTTGCTCAGGGTCAGAGCCATCAATCTTAGTTCCCACTAGGTCTGAGATAGTAAAATCTCAGCACAGGGCTCCTCCTGGCTGTATGACTCTGGGCTATATGCTTAAACTTTCTGGGTCTCTCTGCACAGGGGACCAAGCCTGTGAGAGCCAGGCCAGCTCTGGCATGCAATAACTAAAGAGAGTTTCGGTCTCTCTCCTTGACGATCCCCAGGGGTGAGTAAGGTCAGCATCCTTCACCCTTGTTTCCACAGCTTTCCAGAGCTCACGGCAGTTATATCCGCAGCTCCAATGGCCATACACTTGTTCCTCCTGGGCCTTTTCCTGCTGCTGCCACCACCCGTCCCTGCTCCTTGCTACACTGCCACTCGGTCAGAATGCAAGCAGAAGCACAAGTTCCTGCCAGGTACATGGCTGGCTGGGGAAGGTGTGGACGTGACCACCCTCCGCCACTCCCGAGCCTTCCCAGTGAACACACTGAATTTCCTGAGGCCTGACCGCACCTGCACCCTCTGTAAAAACTCCCTGAAGGGAGACGCTATACAACGCCTGCCCCTGGCAATTGCCCACTGGCGACCTCACGGCTCAGGCTGCCAGCGTAAAGTGGCCACAGTCAAGGTCAGCTCCACTGAGGGCGTGGCCCGGGATGCCGCTACTAACATCAATAATGACTGGCGTGTGGGGCTGGATGTGAACCCCAAGCCTGGAGCAAACGTGCATGTGTCCATGGCTGGCTCCCACTCCAAGGTAGCCAACTTTGCAGCCGAGAAGACCTCTCAGGACCAGTACAACTTTAACACTGACACCGTGGAGTGTCGCCTGTACAGGTAAGAACCAGAGCAGCAGCAGAGAGAGGAGCCCAAAGAGTAGTGGGACACCCCAAGGGTCTAGGAGCTCTGGAATAGTGGCGTGACATCTACAGACCGCTTCACAGGAGGACACCAACTCCTGATTGCTCTAGACCAGTGGTTCTCAACCTTCCTAATGCTGCCACCCTTTAATACAGTTCCTTCGTATTGTGGTGACCCCCTACCATAAAATAACTTCATTGCTACTTCTATAATTTTGCTACTGTGACAAGTCGTACTGTAAGTCTCTGATATGTGATCCACCCCCCATGGGAGTGTGACCCACAGGCTGAGAACCACTGCTCTAGATTCATTTCTGTTGCTGTGATAAAATGTCCTGACCAAAAAGCAGCTAAGGAGAGAGGGCTTGTCTTAGCCACACTTCCAGGTTGCAATCAGTTATCGAATGAGGTCAAGGCAGCAGGAACTTGGAGCAGCTGATCACATCATAGCCTTAGTCATGAGACAGAAATAATTGCATTCATGCTTAGTACTCTATAGCTTTCTCTATTTGTATATGGTCCGGGACCCAAAACAGGAAATGGTGCTTTCCACTTGCAAGCTGAGTCTTCCCACATCAATTGAGGCAATCAAGACAATCCCCACAGGCATGACCACAAGTCAACCTGAACTTATAGATAGTCCCCCACTTGGGCTTAGGTGATTTTAGGTGGTGTCAAGCTGCCAAAACTAACCGTGACACCAGTCCTTAGATTACAGATCCTACAGCCCTGTCTGTCTGTCTGTCTGTCTGTCTGTCTGTCTGTCTGTCTGTCTATCTGTCTGTCCATTCATCCACCCATGATAGGCCTCCTCTATTTATGAGCACCCACATCTGGAGATAAAGGAGGTGGAAGGAAGATTGTTCCTGAGCCCTGGGCTTGGTGACAGTTAGGTACTGGCAGAGAGCACTTAAGCCCTCTCTCCCAGGCATTGCTGATCTCCCATGGGGTTCTTTGTAGGTAGGGACAGAGACGAAGACCTGGTTATGTCCTCCCTCCTCAATGCATGGGTACAAGTGACTCCATATCCTCTGCACTGGGTTCTCAGGCTTTTAAAAAGTGTGTGTGTGTGACAGTGTACAGAATGTGCAGAGATCAGGGAACAACCTGTGACAGACTTTTCTCTGCTTCTACTATGTGGGCTCTGGGGATCAAACTCAGGTGGGCAGACTTAGCAGCAAGCTTTTTTATTTTGCTTTTTTTTTTTAATTTGAGTTACAAACACGATTGAATTACATGACAATCCCAGTTCCCTTCTCCCTCCCCTCCTCCCCTACCACCACCCCCCAACTAAAGCCCTACCTATCACATACCCTTTCTTCTAATCTACACCTGACTCAGGCTTTCTGCTCCCTCATGACCTCTGCAACCCACCTCTTCCTCCCTTCTCATTCTCGTAGCTCCCTCCCCCCTCTTCCCATGCTCTCAATTTGCTCAGGGGATCGTGTCCCTTTCCCCTTCTCCAGGGGACAAAGTTTGTCTCTTTTAGGGTCCTCGTTGTTTACTAGTTTCTCTGGCATTAGCAGCAAGCTTTACCCACTGAGATACATTATCCCTTCACACCTCATGCACACACTTTGCGTTTTTAGATAGCATATATTAATTTTAAATAACAATGGATGTCACTATATGTATATGTTTTGACCACCCCTTCTTTTTCCCAACTAGCCCCATCTACTTCCATTCTACTTTCATGTCTGTGTGTATGTATGGCATAGGGGGTCTTGAATGTTGAATTGTATCAGGGAAATGCCACCCACTAGTCTCACTAATGCTCTGCTCTCCCGGCAGTTTTCGCCTGGTACAGAGACCCCCACTGCACCCCGATTTCAGAAGGGCACTCAGGAACCTTCCTCCCAACTTCAACACCTCCACAAAGGATGCTTACGACAGGCTCATCTCCTCCTATGGCACCCACTTTATTACGGCTATGGACCTAGGTGGCCGTATCTCAGCCCTAACAGCCCTGCGTACATGTCAGCTGGCTCTGGATGGGCTCACGGCTGATGAGGTAGGAGATTGCCTGAATGTGGAGGCCCAAGTCAGCATCGGTGCGCATGCCAGTGCCACAAGCGAATACAAAGCCTGTGAGGAGAAGAAGAAACAGCACAAGATGACCACCTCTTTCCACCAGACCTACCGAGAGCGTCACGTCGAAGTGGTTGGAGGCCAACTTGATTCCACGATGCATGACCTGCTCTTTGGGAACCAGGCCACACCTGAGCAGTTCTCATCTTGGATAACCTCACTGACCAGCAGTCCTGGTGTGGTGGACTACAGCCTGGAGTCCCTGCACATGCTGGTGGAAGACCAGAACCCGAGGCGGGAAGCGCTGAGACAGGCTATCAGCCATTATGTGGTAAACAAGGCTCGTTGGCGGGACTGTAGCCAGCCCTGTCGGCCAGGCCAGCATAAGAGTTCAAGAGACTCGTGCCAATGCATGTGCCACGATTCAAAGGTCACCAACCAGGACTGCTGTCCACGCCAGAGGGGCTTGGCCCAGCTGGTGGTGACAGATTTCCGGGCAGAGCATCTTTGGGGAGACATCTTTACAGCTTCTGATGCCTATGTGAAGGTCTTCTTTGGTGGCCAGGAGTTGAGGACCACTACAGTGTGGAATAATAACAACCCCAAGTGGACTGACAGGCTGGACTTTGGGAATGTGCTCCTAGCCACGAGCGGACCCCTGAGGGTACAGGTCTGGGATGCTGACTATGGCTGGGACGATGACCTTCTTGGTTCTTGTGACAAGTCTCCCAAGTCTGGTGACCATCGGACAACCTGTAACCTGAACCATGGCAGTGTGACATTCGTCTACCATGTCAAGTGTTTGCTCCACCTGACTGGAGAGACCTGCCTGGAGTATGCCCCAGTGAAGCTTCCAGGAGATCCTCCAGGAAACCGCAGTGGGGCTGTGTGGTAAGAAACAGCACACCTTTAATCCCAGCACTGGGGAGACATAGACAGGTGGATCTCTGAGTTGGACGCCAGCCTGGTCTACATAGGGAGACTCTGTCTCGAAAAAACAAACAATAAAACAGCACACCCTGAAAGCACTTTAGTGCTCGACTGAGTTCTCCCAGGGAATCCACAATGGCTTAATATGCAGTAGAGACTGAGACTTCTCACTGAAGTGGCTGAGTTTATATATCAGAGCTTCCCTGACCTTCCCTGTCCGCATTGCCTCAGCCCTCCAATGTCACCAAGCCTGACGACGTCTACTGCTACACAGCACAAACATTGGCCAGGAGTCCAACTGAAGGCCAGGAAGCTGGGTCCCCCAAGCTTTAAGGCCCTCCTTGACATAGCAAGGTCATCTGTTAGAGAGAACCCTTGTGCCCTGATTCCTGTGTGCCTTCTGTCCCTCATTCTGCTCCTGACAAATCAAGGCCTGTGACACCAAGCACATAGCTTGATAGAAGGCCAATGGTAAGCCTGCTGGTGGCATGGTGGCAGAGAAGAGGGGACAAATAATGTCCCAGAGATAGACTTCTATGTCCAACAACCCAGTTTTGCAAAATAGACAGTCAAGTAGTGTAAGCAGACTGTTTTTTTTTTTTTTTCCTACATTTGCTGGTAATGTGGAACTCCAAAGTACCTTACTTCAGTCAAGAAATGGCAGCATAAACTCAGTAATAAATGATGATGGGCATTAAATTTCAGGCTGAAGGACAATGTGGAATGGTGGGGACTGTGGTGAACTGGCAGGGGTAGCCTTAAGTGGCTGCAGCTCTATTCTGAGAATGCAAGCCCGGGACCAGAGGGTCTTCTTACTTCTTTTGTACGTGTGTGCGTGTGTGCGTGTGTGTGTGTGTGTGTGTGTGTGTGTGTGTGTGTGTGTACGTTGTGCCTATGTGTGTGTGCTTCTATGTGTGCACATCTGTGTGTGTCTGTGTGTGCACATCTGTGTGTGTGCACATCTGTGTGTGTCTGTGTGTGCACATCTCTGTGTGTGCACATCTGTGTGTGTGCACATCTGTGTGTGTCTGTGCATGTCTGTGTGTGCAGGCCATCACCAGCTCAGGGCTGCCCATCGAAAACCTCAGCTTCCAAGAGAATTCATCTGCATAAGTCTATAAGTTCTCTCCTGCTTCACAACTTGGGGGGAGCAGTGGTTCTAGCAGGGTAGTCCAAGAGTCTTCCAAGTTCAGCCTGCTCAGCCAGCACATCAGGATCTGATATCAAGCGATGCCCTCTTTGTTTCACGTGCCTGGGACACAGGTCATGGAGCTGTGGCAGGACTTGGCAATGCATGGCTGTTTGTAGTTCAAGGGGCTTGGAGGAACCACACAGACCCTGAGTGGTTTTGAAATCCCCAACAAAATAAACTGTGAGGTGCATATCAGACCCAAAGACTCAAACCCCAATCTCTGACATTGCAGTGACCCTAAATCCTCAGCAAGCAGGAGGGTCAGAAGGGTCTAGAAGCCTGTAGAAACCACTGTTCTTACATGTTCCCAGTCTCAGCCACACACAAACAAGACCACAGGAAACCTTGCCTGACAGCTTGCCACATGACACTACCTGTGGCCCTGGGTGAAAATAAAGGTGGTTGTAGCCAAACCCCATAAAGAAAACAGATCTGCAGGATTGGGGTGGAGCAGGACTCATTCAGCAGGCCCTTGACCCTGCCTCAGTTTCTCTCAAAGGATAATCTGTGTATTTTTTCCCTTCCTCAGAACTTCTTGAGTGGGTCACTAGCCTTTGTAGGATAAGAGAAGGGATCCTGAAAGAGAGGCCATGAACTCTGAAAGGTCATTTGCTAGCCCTCCTGGTTTCACATATAGAGAAATTGAAGTCAGCTGGTGGGTGGTGGCACACGCCTTTAATCCCAGCACCCAGAAGCAGGTGGATCTGTGTGAGTTCCAGGCCCGCCTGGTCTACAGAGCAAGTGCCAGGACAGGCTCCAAAGCTACACAGAGAAATCCTGTCTCAAAAAACCAACCCCCCCCAAAAAAAAAAATTGAGGTCAGAGGGAAAGGAGAGTTGTTGTTTGAATAGTTTTGTGAGGATTTTTTTTCCTCTTTGTTTTGTTGTCCAACAAAGAATTTAACTGTGGTCAAAGAAGTTAATGGCAGCAATAAGACAGCCAGGTCTCTGGGTTCTAGCACTCATCCTGGATACAGTGTTGAGAGCCCAAGGGCACAGAAAAGAGTTCGTTTGTATTTTTTAAAGATTTATTATTTTTAGATTATTTGTATAAGTGTTTTGCATTCAGATATGTATAGAGGTCAGAAGAAAGTACCAGATCCCCTAGAACTGGAGTTAAGGACAGCTGTGAACCTCCATGTGCTAGGAACTGAACCTGGGTCCTCTGCAAAAGTCATAAGTGCTCTTAACCACTGAGTCATCTCTCTACTCCACAATCTATGTTTTGAGATAGGGTCTCCTGTAGTCCAGTCTGGCTTTTCAAATTTGATATGTAGCCAGGATGACCTTGAACTCTGATCCCCTTGTCTTCCAGATAACAGGCAGACACCACCACACTCAATTCTGTCCAGCCATCAGTGGCGACTGGCTGGACCAAACATGCTTCCTCCACTTTGCCCTGCCCTAGCTATCTTCCCTGGTCCTGCTGGTGTTCTCTGGAGTCACCTCCCACAAGTATTGCCTGCCCTGTTATTGGACCTGCCTCTGGGGAAACCAGCTGTGGCACACATTGGCCATGTCATTGCCATACTTAAAACCCTTCTTTCAGGCTGAGAAAGATATATCTGTTGATAAAGTGTTAACCTGGAAAGGATGAAGCCCTGAGCTCAGATCCCAGAAAACATACAAAAATGCTGACCTTGTAATTAAGCCCAGTTGGAGTGAGGCAGAGCCTGGAGAATCCCTGAGTCTCACTGGCCAGCCATTTCAGCCTAATTGGTGAACTTCAGGCCAATAAGAAACTCTGTCTCAAGGAAGTGGACCTTGTTTCTGAGGATGACACCAGACCTCAGGCCTCTACACATTCATATACACATACACACAGAGAGGTGGTCTCTACACATGCCCTCACACACAGATGGCTCTACACATGCACACACACAAACACATGAACATGTGCGTGCATACCACACACATACATACACACACAAGCACACATGCATGAATGCATACACACACATCTACACATGCACACATGTACCCTGTCATGAATATACACTATACACACACATATGCAGTTACACACACAGATGAACACATGCATGCACACACAGAGAGAGACAGCACACATCACACACAGACTCAAACACAGATACAAACACACAGGCATGCATACACACACGTATACTCATATTAATTTATGTGTATGAGTGCCTTGCCTACATATAAGTCCATGCACCACATGGATGCCTGATGCCCACAGGGGCCAGAAAAGAGTGTTAGATCCTCTGGAACTGGAGTTATAGACAGTTATAAATCACCATAGGAGTACACCAAACCAAGGTGCACCTAACCCAGAGAGGTGAGGTCACCTCCAGTTTGTTCTCGACCTCCTTCAGTCCCCAAGCTGCCTGGTAAGTTCCTTCGGGGATTGACTTCCACTTAGAGCTGTCCATCCATACCTTCCCAGGATCAAGACAGTTCTGGCACCAAGTAGTTACCAGTGATGGACTGTGTCAGAGCTGTCGGAGACCAAGGTCATGCATGGTGAGAGTCTCATGCGAGGTTAGGATTTGGGTTACTTGCACAGAGACAAGCCTCAACCACAGTAAGGACTCTGGAAAAACAATGGAGGAGTGACTTGCACAAATTAAGAGACTTCCACTCTCCGCTCTCCAGACCGGCCTGTGGTCCAACACCTAGCTCTATGGACTCTCTCTCTCTCTCTTAAACACACTGAAGACCAGTAAGACTTCTCCCCCAACCCTGGGTGTCCGCAGCTGTGATGCAAAGGGGCTGAAACAAAGATTTCTGCATAGCTTTGGGGCTCAGCTGTCTCCCCCGACATCAGTTTGCATGGTGGGAGTCATGAGGCACCACCATCCCTGGACCTGGAAGACACCTGAATCCTTCTGCATCTCTCTTCCCAGAGGCTGGTCCTTGACTCTAGCTAGCCCAGACAGGAACAGCTGCTGTTGTTCTACAGGCTATAGCCAGGCTTTGTTGCTCACTGTGGGGACTCAATGGCACATCTGGACTCACTGTTAATCTCCCAAACATCTGGTTCTTGTCTTTGTCTTAAAAGAACACTGACTGACGTCAGCTTTCTGACAGTACCTTGGGCTTTTCTCTGGGAACCCCAGCCTCCCTGTGACCATAAATAAGGCTAACCCCAAGGAGGACAGCCACATCTCCCTGTCCACACTGCTCTCAGGATTTAGTCCCTAGCTCCAGGAAGTTTTCTTGGTTTCCTGCACAGGGCAGAAGGCAGTAATTGTGCAAGCGTGGACATCATCACCGCCCATGTCCAACCCTCTCCAGGGTGGGTTCTAGGACACCATATGAATTCGTTTTGTAAAATGTTTTTCTAAGTCAGAGAATTGGGAAGAGGGCCCTCACTCCCTTCCCTGCCCCTTTCCCTCTCCCACCCCTCCCAGGCAGCCTTGCCTGAGGACTGCAGAGCTTTAGGCATGGGGTAGGTTTTAACTTCTCAGACCTTCTCTACAGCCTAGTGAGGCAGAGACATGTCTCCCCATCACAGAAATGGGGTCACCATAAAGCCACAGCTCTCCCCCTTGCTTTATAGACACCATAAGACCTCAGAAGTTCACTTACAGTTTTATGGGTTGGTTTTTTTGTTTGTTTGTTTCAAAAAACAAAAAGTCTCAAAAAAAAAAGAGTTTCTCTTATGTAGCCATGGCTGACCTGAAACTCCTTCTGTAGACCAGGCAGGCTTTGAACTCAGAGTTCTGCCTGCCTCTGCCTCCTGGGTGCTGGGATGAAAGATGTGCGCCACCACCACCTGGCTTAACAGTTCTCATGCCCAGTATCCCC